TTTTTTTTCTTTTTGTCTTTTTTACTGACCGGTAACGGGATTGCAACCCTCGGTGTCGCGCCCGTACCGGGGACCGGCAATGGGATCGCAACCCTCGGTGTTGCGCCTGCACCGCACTCAGCCAGTGAGCAGGAACCAGTCTCCACATGGGATCCGAACCCTCGGCGGGAGCGCTGCTGCACTCCCAAGCGCCACACTCTACCAAGTGCGCCACCGGGCCGGCCCAGCACCTTTATTAGAGAAAAGAAACAGAGATTTGGCTACAAAGATGTAGACACAGAGCAAACCCACAGAGAGGGAAGACTGCCATGTGAAGATGGAGGCAGAGACTGGAGTGACGCAGCCACAAGCCAAGGGACACCTGGAGCCACCTGAAGCTAGAAGAGGCAGGAAGGATCCTCTTCTGGAGCCTCTGAAGGGAGTGTGGCCCTGCTGACACCTTGATTTTGGACTTCAGACTTTCAGACTCCAGACTTAGAGAGAATAAATTCCTGTTGCATAAGCCATAGTTTGTGGTCCTTTGTTCTGGCAGCCCCAGGAGCCTCAGGCCCTCTGCTTTTGCGTACCTGGGGGCGACGTCATGGTTTACATCCAGCCTCCCCATCCCCCCCCCACCTTCTTCGAACCCACAGGGTACTTAATACATCCATGACTCACACATTCACTCATTAAAAACTATTTACTTACCATATCACCTAATATTAAAATCAAGTTCAGGTCCACCTCCTTTTAAAACTCAGTTCTCAGAAAAAGGGCTGTGAAAGCACAGGTTTGTTATGATGATGACGGCTGCTTTTTAACACCCTCCAAAATCAGCCCATTACTGCTGGAATATGAAATGCTCTCCATCACACCTAAAACCTCGAGAGCCTTGGGACAAGCCAATTAGGACAGGAACGAGTCCTTTTCTTTTGCTTTTTGCCCCAAAAGAAAGGTAACTGAACAGCTCACATTTCTCCATCTGCTCTGGCTGCAAACCCCACATCTTTTCTACACCCTCCACCCCTTTTCAATCCATGTCTACTCTTTGAAAAAACATGGGCTGTTTCGTGGGCCTGGGAGTGAAACCTCTCTAAGTCTCCACTGTTCATCTGCAAAATGGGGATAGCCACATCTGCCTAATGGAATTGTCACAAAAAGTAGCTAAGAAAAGGGCACATGCTGGATGACTGCATTTATAGGAAGTGTCTAGAATAGGCAAATACATAGAGACTGAAAGCAGATCAGTGTGTGTCAGTGTCTAAAAGGAGAAGGGAGTGACTGCTAATGGGTACAGGGTCTCCTTTCTACGTGATGAAAATGTTCTGGAATTAGATAGTGGTGGGGGTTGCACAACATTGTGAATGTGCTAAATGCCACTAAAATTGTACCCCTTAAAATAGTTAAAATGGTGAATTTTATGTTAGGTGTATTTTACCAAAAAAGATTTTTTTTAATGGCTAAGAAGCATCTGCCTAAGGAGGAGCTTCACTCCTCTGAAGCTTAGCTTCCTCATCTGTAAAATGGGGGTATTGGCAGAACCCTCTCACGGGAGGTTGTACAGACTACACCAATCAACCCTTGGGAATGCCCAGCACAATGTGCTGATATCCGGTCTCCCCAGGGCTGCGGGGAGAGCTCACAGCCGGCGTAATGCAGATAAAGCATCTGACCCATGGGACACACTTAACACATGCTCAGTAGATGCTGGGCACCCTTCTGATGATCTGGAGGCAATCTTAGCCAAGTGCTCACACTGAGCAGGGGCTCAGTAAGCATCCGTTCCCCTTTAGGCCCCAGGCGGGTTCCATATGGTGTTTGTCCATGTGGCCTATCCCTGGTGTTGGCTCATGATAACACAGCAGGCAGGAACAGATCATATTTTAAGCTTTGGTAGCCTGGTCTGAGCCATTGCCACACTGAGCAGGGGCTCAGTAAGCATCCGTTCCCCTTTAGGCCCCAGGCAGGTTCCATATGGTGTTTGTCCATGTGGCCTATCCCTGGTGTTGGCTCACGATAACACAGCAGGCAGGAACAGATCATATTTTAAGCTTTGGTAGCCTGGTCTGAGCCATTGGGCACTCTAGATTTAATTCTGCAGGTAATTTGAACGATGCTATCTAATTTCAAATGTCCCTGATCTTATGAGCGCAAAAGCAGCATAATTTTTAATTAGTGGGTAAACAGTAAATAATGAATGGCAGTAAGTGGACACCAGTGTTAATTAAAAATCCATGGTTGATAAAAATCAATTTGGTCCCTGCATTTAATTCAATCTATCAGGTCCCTGTGAAAAGTCGTGCAGTCAAGCCCACAGCACCACCTGCTTTGAGATGTTTCTTCAGTTACGACTTTTCTGGGGGGAGAGAAAGAAGGAGGGAAAAAAAAATAAAAGAAAATCAAATGTCTACCTCGAAAGCTGCGATGGAGATAGTGTCATGACATCAATTAGAATTGGTTGATTTTATTTTTGTAACCTTCAAGCTGAGGCCTTACAAACGATCAAGGCAACATTGTGCCCCACTGTGTGTTTCCACCAAGGTCTCCAGTTTTGTGTGTTGTGTGTTGTATGTCTGAACACGGTGCGATTTAACCGAATCTCATAGCCTCCTGACATAACTAAATCCTAATTTCTCACAGAGAAACAAGACAAACTAAAACACGCTTAGTGGAAACATGATCTCTGAGGATTCATGACAAAATATAACGTCGCAGGCCATCTCGGTGTCCTCTGGGAGGATATAGAAAAATAAAAGGCTTGTTTTCTTTTGAACAGAAAACATTTCCTCGAGAAACTGAGGTTCGTGGAAACAATGACAAACAAGTCATTTTCAGGGCCCACTCACTATTCTGCTCTGGATGAAAGCTTGATTTTCCTGCTAGGCAAATCATGCTTTTCCTTGTGATCCATTTTTTCACTTGGCTTTTTCCATTCTCCAAATCAATGCTTCGGACAGGTTTCATTGACATCGGCGATGCTCAAAACAACCAGCAGAATTGAATCCAGGGAACCCAGTGTCTTCCCATGAAGTTGACTGCAGAAGCCCCAGCACCTGCAAGGTGTTGACACCGAGGTGTGTCCCCCCTGCAACTCAGAGTTCCTGGTAGGGTTATGTGGGACCGCGGCCCAGCTCTGATGCTCACCACCAAGCACTCCGTCTGGCTCGGGTCCCCATATGGGACGTGCCAAGTGAATCGAAACCACCACGGCTTCCCTCTCCGGGCTCCCTCAGAGTATTCACTCTGCAGAGCAGGTCTGAGTGGGCTGTTAGTTTTCATTTCTCCTGTTCAGCAGATGGAAGCCAAAGAATCAGTTGTAGGATAAACCAAGAATGCAGTGAAGACCCAGCATCACGCCCACTTTTTTACTCACTTATTGGCCTGTTCATGCAGCAGATGTCTGCTGAGTGCCCTGTGTTCCCCCAGGCCTCCAAATCAGCCCCTTTGCCCTCACTGGGGATGCAAGGTGGGCAACAGTTAAACCACCAGGGGCTGGCCACTTAGTTCAGTTGGTTAGACCACAGCGTTATAAGACCGAGGTCATGGGTTCCGATCCTCGTACTGGCCAGCTGCCAAAAAAAAAAAATTCAGGCTCCTAGTCTGGCTCTGTCACATTCAGGTGGCATGTACCCCTGTGCAAGCTGAGCCCGTTTCTCTGCCCACAAGAGAAAGACATCACCGACACCCATCTCCTAAAGTTGTTTCAAAATCAAATGAGATAATATATGAAAATGCACAGAGCCCATGCTTGGTTAACAGGAACTCGGTTGTCATCACCATTGTCACCAAAAACATCACTCCTGTCTGCTCTGCTGCTCACGGGGGATCCCCCAGCCTCCAGAGAAGTGAGGAATCTGCTCTGCCTCACTTTCCTGAGAGGCTGCTGGGGCGTGGAGAGTTTAGGGTCATGTCCAGCCGGACAGCTCCAAGGGGGCACTGTGGGAACCCCAAACCTCCCCTAGCCACATGGCCCTTCCTGAACCCCGGCCAGGCAGGTGTGAATGTGCAGTGGGGACATGGGGGGGATGCCGTCCATTCTCCTCTACACCTGCAACCTTTGCTGAGGCCTTCTGGCTGGCGGATGTCTCTGGTAGACCTGTGTCCTGATGACTGGGCCCCTCCTGACCCACTCGGGCTGCAGCACCGAGGCTGGGAAGCCCAGTTGTAGGAGTCGGGCCACGAGTACAACCGGCGCTGGGATACTTGGGTGCTGCCTGCCGCCAAGCTTCCCACGACATCCAGCCATCTGGGCTGTCTGGAGCCTGTTGCCTCCAAGGGGAGATGCCGGTTTCGGGGGGAGCTGCTGCTCTTCGGCAGCTGAAGGCTTTGGCGTTCCCACCTCGGAGCAGCCCCTAGGAGAGGCTGTGAGCAGTCCCACGCCCTGGCTTGACCCATCTCCAGGACAGAGCCAAGCACATCTGGGGTCGCTCACAAGAAGCCCCGTGCACTGGCCCTAGCTTTGGTCACCTTCCTCCCCTGGCTCCAGGGAGAAGGGGAGGCCCACATTGTCCTCATGCACAGCCAGGCAACTGCTGGGGGTCTGTGTGCTCAGCCACCCACCACACACTTACTGAGCAATGGCTGGGCCCACAGCCACAAAGAGGGACAACTGGCAGGCCTGGCGCTGCAGTGAGACACAAAGCACATGGCCCAAGGGTGGGCAGCAGGCAGCTGCTCCAAGCTGGGAGAGGTCAGACAGAAACCGGCTCCTTGGAGGAGGGGAGGGGTCTGCTCTGAGAAGGGCTGGAGTCCCACTGCCCCCGACTCCTGGGGTCTGAGTCTGGAGGGCACCTGGTCCAGGAGTGTACGGTCCTTTAGCCACTGCCCACAGGGCCTGGACATAGCAGGTGAGTCTGCAGAAGCTCTGGGCTTCTGGGAATCTACTCTCATGTCAAATTCTCAGAGGCTTCCTAGCCCTGGAATCTGGGGTGGTCTCCCTCAAGGAGGCTTGGATTCAAGGGAGATCACATCTGGGACCCCAGGAGGAGAAGAGTCAGGAGGCTGATTCTAGCCACCCCACTATGTGGAGCCCCTCACTGTCTCCAGTACTGGGGGCAGCCCGAGGTGAGGCTGGGCATCTTGAGGGGGAGCCAAGGTGGGGGCACAGCCCTGCCTGGCTACCTGCTGTCTTGCAAGCTGTGGCCCTGGAGGGGTTGGGCAGGCGGAATACCTGTCCTGTGCTGGGATCTCTCACCCAGGTCTGTGTGGTTTGCAGCCCATACCACAGAGGCTACCAGGACAACCAGAGGTGGCCACCTGCAGTGGAAGCCCCGCTGCCAGCAGTCCTTGCCCAATGGAGCACCTGTCACTGCAATCCTACCTCCACACCTTGACGGGCCCTGGATCTCCACTGGGTAAGACCCCGCATCACCTTGACCATGGACCCCTGGCCTGGGAGACTTTTCCCTTTCTGAGCCTCAGTGTCATGTCTGTAAAATGGGCACAATTCATCCAGCTGTCCAAGAGACCTGCTACCTGCCAAACATGTGGCTTTCCCTGCCTCCCCTCTACAGAGTGCACCTGGGAGGCAGGGACTGTGTTGAGCATCACGTCCCAACCACAAAGAGCAAATGGATGAAATCCATTCATTGAACACATTGAGCACTTATCATACAAACACTTATTGGGTGCCTATTACCAGCTAGGCACATGGGGTTGGCAGTGGGACATGCACTAAACATGCAAACACAGAAATAAGTACTAGAAGCGAGATAGTGCTAAGCTGTGCAAGGAAGGAAATAAAACTGAGGACATGACAACAAGTGACCTGGAGCGTTGTTTAGAGTGGTCAGGGGAGGCTTCTTGGAGGTGGTGACATTCTGCTGAGAGCTGAAAGTAGAGGAGTCAGCCATTCAAAAGCCAAGGGAAGCACCAGGCAGATGGCACAGCTGGTGCAAAGGCCCTGAGGCAGGAAGTGGCAGGCCAGAGAGAGCCTGGGTGTCCCCATAAAATTCTCTTTTTAACCTGACGGGCTCTCCAGACACTTCGGAGGCCCAGCTGCTGCTCTGCGGCCAACGGGCTGTATGTCATGCTCTCATCTGTGTGCACAAGTCCCACAGCAGTCAGCTGAGGCCCCCTCCCAGGGGTGGGGTAGGGAGAAGGGAGGCTGTGGCCTCCTCAACACCTGCCTCCTCCCTTCCTCCCCCGCCTTCCCCTCTGGGCCAGTCCTGTTCTGGGGTCAAGGACTGGACTCTCTGTGTCCTCCATGAACCTCCTGAGGTCAGGGAGAAACCCGACTGCCAAACATCTGCTTGTGCTTTGGGTGGAGGGAGGAGACATGAATCTGCAAAGCTGCTTCCAACGCATTCCCAGGCTCTGCTGAGCTGCACGTAGCCCCCGCCCCACAGTCCAGCTGGGATCAAGCCAACCACTAGCCAGGGTCACTCTGAGACAGAACTGGGGTACAGGGAGGGGGGACACTAGCTGCAGACTGCTCCTGCCCTGAGACAACAGCATTTTGGAGCAGTCCTTCTAAGAAACATCTAGGCCCCACAGTCCAGCTGGGATCAAGCCAACCACTAGCCAGGGTCACTCTGAGACAGAACTGGGGTACAGGGAGGGGGGACACTAGTTGCAGACTGCTCCTGCCCTGAGACAACAGCATTTTGGAGCAGTCCTTCTAAGAAACATCTAGAATTTTCTTCCTAGAAAGTTCCCTGCCACGCTCTCAGACAGGCCTGGCTGCTTCCTGGGAAAAGTATGGAAAAGGGTCCAGAGTCTGGGAACTACTGAGATATCTAATGTGACCTTAGGCAAATCCCTTCTCCAGATCTTGTCTGAGACCCTTGGCGACGTGGGCCGCCTCTTTTGATTTTAAACTAACACCTGTACTTGTATTTACTTTCTTTAAACCAACTTGCTTTTATTTACTTAAATATATACATTTACTTTTACACCTTCATTGAGGTATAATTGGTGCACAATAAACTGCACAGTGTGCCATGATTATTTTTAAAGGAAGCAGAATACTACATTGGATATAGAGAATAGAGCCACTTGTCATAAATAAGGGGTGAGTGTAAAAAGAAACTCGATGAAAACAAAACAACCCGATTAAGTTCTCTCTAGATTCGTTGCCTATCTAAGGCTCCAAGTCGGTTCTCCCCGGGAGAAAAGGGAGGTTGGCGTTGAAGACGCATTATCTCCGAACAGAGACTTTCTCCTTAACGTTCTCAGAAAGATTGAAAGAAAAGAGGGCATTGTTTCCTTGCTGGTTGATAACATGTTTGCTCTGCTCCAACAGCCCCGATATGAAAAATATCAAGAAAATAGCAGTACAGGTGGTATTTGGTTAGAGTAAAATTGTAGGGGTGGCACCTACCTGCTCTTCCCCAGCCCCCCCAAAACTCATCCACCCCATCTGAGCCCTCAGTGAGGAAGTCCCCTGCCCAGGGTATGACTGTGGGTCTAGGAGTCATTTAGCTTCCCTTTGCCTCCTATCCATCACCTCCTGGGTTTGTTCATATCACCAACAGAAGAGAGCCTGAGGACCAAGTCCAGTCCACTGCCTGTTTTTGTAAATAAAGTTTTACTGGCACACAACCATGCCCATCATTTATACATTATCTATGGCTGCTTTAGCAATGTTGAGTAGCTGCAACAGAAACCATCTGGCCTGCAAAAACAAAAATATTTATTATCTGACTCTTTACAGAAAAAGTTTGGTGACACCTGGTTTAGATCAATAAGCCCTGTCATAGACATGGATGAAACCTGGTGGGGGAGTCAGCCTATCAAAGGGGGAGACAGTGTAAGCAACCGTCATCCCTGACTCATTCGTTCACTTAGTAAGGACCCAGGGAGGGTGCTGGCTCCAGGCAGGTGCCAGGAACCCAATGGGGAAAGAACCTCCCAGAACTCGCAGTGCAGTGAGTCCTAGACAGTTGCAAAGGAGCCTCCAATTAGGGCAATTAAGATTGAATGAAAGAAGAACTAGACGGCTTTTGTTGAGGCTACAAGGCATTGAGCAGAAGGTCCCTGGCCCCTAAGTTGGGCCTGACTAAGAACAGTCAGGGAAACTGATGCTGTAGGGGCCCAGGACTGAGCTGAGGTCTGAAATGGGGGCTGGGGAGGCAGGAGCCCAGCCCCACAGGGAGAGGGGCTTATGGTGCTGGTGTTCACTTCTCTGTCCAACCCCCATCTCCTTGCTCCTCCCCTGACCCCCACCCCTGCCCGCAGCTGCGAGGTGCGCCCAGGACCAGAGTTCCTCACCCGTTTCTACACCTTCTACCCCAACCGCCTCTTCCGAGCCTACCAATTCTACTATGGGGACCCTTTCTGCCAGGAACCTGCCCACTCGCTGCTCATCAAGGGCAAAATCCGCCTGCGCCGGGCCTCCTGGGTCACCCAAGGTGCCACTGAGGCTGACTACCACCTGCACAAGGTGGGCATCGTCTTCCACAGCCGCCATGCCCTGCTCGATGTCAGCGGGCGTCTCAACCTGACCCAGGCTGGCCAGGACTGCGCCCAGCGTCTGCCCCCGGCCCGGGCCTGGCTGCCTGGGGCGCTGTATGAGCTGCTGAGTGCCCAGGCCCAGGGGGACTGCATGGCAGCACTGGGCTTCACCATGCATGAGCTAAGCCTGGTCCGTGTGCAGCGCCACCTGCAGCCCCAGCCCAGGGCTGCACCATGGCTGGTGGAGGAGCTGTACCTGGGGGACATCCACACCGACCAGGCAGAGAGGCGACACTACCGGCCCACCGGCTACCAGCGCCCATTGCAGAGCGCCCTGGTGAGTCTGGGCCCCTGGCCAGTAGGCCGCATATGATCTGGTCCCTGCCTAGGGCTCTGCCTGCCCTGCTCTTATCACTGCTGCCCCACTCTGGTCAGCTTGCCTCAGGACATTTGCACATGCTGTTCCCTCTGCTTGAGACATCTTTCCTCAGGCCTTTACAAGGTGGCTGGCTTTTTCCAGAAGGAAACATTAGTCAGCCTTCTGGGTCTCGTCCTCCCTAGCCCACATCCTCCAGATTTGGTCCTCCAGGGCCCTGCAAGACCCCATTTCTGCCCCACGTGGGCCCATGGGCTTGGGCAGGTTTTTCCTCCCTGTGACCTTCTCAGCACTCAGCAAGTGCCGAAGCTCTATTGTCTGTTTGTGTATGGATTCCTGCCTCCAGCCCTAGACCCTCCACAAGGGTAGGGCTGCTGCAACCTCCTAACCCAGGATCTGGCACATGATCAGGGCCAATAAGTGTTGGTGAATGAATTAGAGAGAGGGTACCTTTCCTCCAGGGCACTGCTGGGGCTGCTGCACACCCCTCTGAATGCCACTCCCATCAAAGTCTCAGTGGAAATCTCACTGTTGACCTGGAAGCAGAGCAGTCAGCATCTGTTTAGAGTGCAGAGTTGGGTCTGGCAGGTCTGGGCGGGGCCTGAGGTTTTGCATTTCTAACAAGCTCCCAATGGGGAGCTGGTGGGGAGGCTGCAGTCTAAAGGGAACTGCCCTGTCTTCAAGATGCTCCCACTAGACTACAAAGTGAGTTGCACCTAAGCTGATTAACCTAGATTTTAAATGAAGCCAACACAAACATACCGTACTAATTTGGGGAAGATCTAGTGGCACTTTTTTTTTTTTTCTTCCTTTTTTTGTCTTTTTTACTGACCGGTAATGGGATCGCAACCCTCGGTGTCGCGTCCGCACCTCACTCAACCAGTGAGCAGGAACCAGTCTCCACATGGGATCCAAACCCTCGGCGGGAGCGCCGCCACACTCCCAGGTGGCACACTCTCCAGTGCGCCACCGGGCTGGCCCTCTGGTAGCACTTTTTTGTCTGATGAGCAAACAGGCAGAAAGAAACTTAA